CATAGGCTACCCAACTATTGCTTGAGAGAAAGAAAAGAATGAATGCGCACGCTTTTATATTATGTTATCGAATCGGCGCGCGCTGTGGGTTACCTGTGGTATTACGTCACTATCGCGCGCCTCGCGGGATACAAACTAGTCTGTGACAAGGTATGAAACACTGGTCACGTGATGGATCGATGTGTGCCCCAGGTATVGTGTCCACCCCTCCCTACCTTTTTTCATTCGTGAAGACTTCGCGACCCATCGTAAACGATCGTAAATAATCGTGAGTTTCTCGAGGCGAAAAAAATGTCAAGGATAAAGCTTTAAAATTCAATTTTCTTTAAAAAAAGGAAAGGAAACATACAGACAAGAAGCAAAATTAACAAAAAACACAAACAATATGAAAAGTTTTCGAGGTTTTCTAGTTTCAAACGACTATATTAGCTATATTTAATTGACTTAACAAAGCTTAATTATCTCTAAGTACAAGAAATAGACATATTTTGAACAAGTTTATTATTCATAGATCTTAATTATCTTGGTTTCTACTAATAAGTCAGTCTAAAAATGAGCTTTGAAACCGCATCGCAAAAAAAATGGTTAAGTTAGGTTGAGTTGAAACGACTCAATTCAACCGAACGAAGCATTTTCTGGTTTTCAAACATCAAAAATCTCTACATAACAAAATTCATTATCTAAATAATCCGAAATAAAGCGGTGAAACGTAAAGGTTTCATAAAATGTAATGGAAAGTTCTCAAAACTGCCAGTGGTTTGTAAGAAAAAAGGCGATAGATTTCATAGAAACTAAAGTGCTTGACRTACCTCTCAAAGTATCAGGAAAAGATCTCTAGTTTCAACTAGTCCCTCATTCAAGAAAGCTTGCTTTAACTGCATATGGGCATAAATTTAAGTTAAGTCTTATAAGCTTAAACTCAAGTAAAAATCCACGTAAGTTATGAACTTTTCTGCTCCATTTTTCGAGTTTTTGAAATGAGCAAGAGTCTTCAAGAGAGTCTTCAAGAGTCTTCAAGATCTTTGCCTTTAAAATAATTGTTCCTCACAATGTACTGTCTCATCTTTTGCATGAAGTCTCAAAGTTTCAGGATATTGGCATAAAGCTTCCCATCAAAAACCAACCAAGTAATTCAGGACACGAATCGGACACGAGCGAATGCACGGTAGCGGATGACCCTTGGAAAAATCTCGACTGTTTACGAAAGGCCTCGAAGTCTACCCGAATGCAAAAAGGTAGGGAGGGGTGGACACCATACCTGGGGCACACATCGATCCATCACGTGACCAGTGTTTCATACCTTGTCACAGACTAGTTTGTATCCCGCGAGGGATAATACCTGGGGCACACAAATATAAAAGCGTGCGCATTCATTCTTTTCTTTCTCTCAAGCAATAGTTGGGTAGCCTATGTACAGTATCGTCCGTTTCCCACTCATACGAAATCCGCTCTAGCTCGATTTCATGCGTTATTCAAAGCACGAAAAGGCGCCTTTTGAGGCTCAATTTTACGCACAAATGCACGATTTCGAGCCTAGGTATCAGGATCAGGTATCAGGCATGGCTGGAAGAAAAAAAGCTCATAATATGAGCCTAAACGAGAGCCAAATGAGCACACCGATAAAGCCTAATGCCAAAAAATCGAAAACCGAAATAGATGATCCTGAAATTGATCTGAAAAAATTGTATAATTTGGTTCTTGAAATGAACAAAAAGCTTGATAAGCTTGAAGGCATCGAGAGGCATGTCAAGAGAATCAACAAGGATATAAGAGATCTCAAAAACTCATGCCAATATGCCCACGATTCAATAGAAGAGGTTCAAAAAGAACAAAACAAATATAAAGGCAAAATGAAAGCATTAGAGGAAAGGCTGGAGAAGATTGAAGATGAAAACAAAAAAATCAAGCAATCAACAGTTAACCTCCGAGCGAGGTCAATGAGGAACAACCTCCTTTTCTTCAACATTGAAGAAAAGGACCAAGAGAACTGCGAAGATGAAATAAAGAACATTGTGGAACAAATAGGGATGGAGCCCTGGACTGTAGAGATTGAACGAAGCCACAGAATGGGCAAAAGGAGAGAAGAAAAACCACGGCCAATTGTGGCGAAATTCTTGCGTTGGCAAGATAAGGAGAGGGTGAGAAAGTCCGCATACAAACTTAAGGGAACCAAAATTGGGATTGCCGAGCAATTCCCAATGGAAATCGAGGAAAAAAGGAAGGAGTTATACCCAATTCTAAAGCTAGCAAAAAAAGAAGGGAAGAAGGCGAAAATAGTACGTGACCAGCTATTCATAGATGGTCAATGATACACTGGTTAAAGACTTTACTACTATTCATTATATAACTACAAAATATAGAGCTCGTGCAAGGTATATTATGTCCAGTATATTTATTTTCTTTTATGATTGTACAATTTTAAAATATATAGTACTAAGAAACTTTTAAAACACCTTAGAATATGGCCATGAATATAATCAGCTCATGTAACACTTGTGACAGTAATATTACTAACAAACGATCATCAATAATGTGTTCCTCTTGTAGAAATCATTATCATTTATTATCTTGATCATATACCTGTTAATAATGATTTTAAATGTTATCAGTGTACTATGATTGAATTCCCGTTAGTAACAATTGACGAAGACCTATTCTCGGCTGACTCTGTTTTAAATATCCCTTACGACATAACCTTTAATCCTTCGGAAGCACCTCACAATAATATAATTACTGTAAACAAACAATTCGACCCCCATCTTAACTATAATTTAACGAATAATAATAATCTAGGTTATAATTCAATAACAGATTTTAGTACAAAACTTGACTCCTTAAATGTTACTGATAATGAATTCTCACTTTATCACGTTAATGCGAGAAGTATTAGACATAAATATGATACTCTTATAAATTATGTATTAGCATTAAAACATCAGTTTTCAGTTATAGCAGTAACCGAAACCTGGTTAACTGAAGATGAAATTGAAATGTATGATATTCCCGGTTATTCGGCCATACATCTAAACAGGAACAATAAAATCGGCGGAGGAATTAGCCTTTTTATTCAAGAGCATCTAAAATATAAAAAACTAGATGAGTTCAGTTTTAACAATCCCTCAAATTTTGAATCACTGTTTATTGAAATTTCCAGTGATATTGGCAAGAACATTGTTATTGGGGTGGTATATAGACCACCCAATAACAAATATACGGATTTTGAATTTCATCTAAATAGCATATTATCAACAATTGACAAAAAAGATAAACATTGCTACATGCTAGGTGACTTCAATATTGATCTTTTAAAATATAATAAGTGCAATTTCTCAACGCAATTTTTTAATCTTCTATCGTCCTCTGGATTTAGACACTTAATAACGAGACCGACTCGAATAACGACATCAAGTTGTACGTTGATTGACAATATCTTTACTAATGATAATGTAAATGAACATGTAAGCGGAAATATGGTTAGCGATATTTCGGACCATTTACCAATTTTCGCGATAATTAAAAATAAAGTTAATAAAACTAATCAAGAAACCAACGAATCGATTAAAACACGAATTTTCAACAAAAAAAACCTTGAATCCTTCTACCAAAACATCCAGACACGAAACTGGGAGAATACATTTGCAGAAAAAGACCCACAAAAATCACTAGAAGCATTTTTACATGAATTTTAYGAGTCTTATAATCACCACTTTCCACTAAAAACAATAAATTCAAAAAATAAAAAAAGGATTACCAATTATTGGTTTACAAAAGGACTAAGAACTTCTTCCAGAACAAAGGAAAAATTGTATAAAAAATTTCTAAAGAAACCTTCACTAGAAAATCATAATAAATATAAAACATACCG